ATGTCTCTGTAGCTTTGTAAATAGGTGGTTATTTCTCTGTCTTTCAAAGGGAAATGAATGAACCACAATCACATTTGTGGTTTGGCACATCCTGGCCTCTCATAAATTGGGCCTGATTTCTGCTGGGGTCACTAGGAATGTGCTCCATGACACAGGGCACACGTGTACGGTCCACAGCACAGCAGGGGTCCCCATGGGAGGTGCGGCTAGGGAGACTGGCGGCCATTCCTGATAAGCTGCTTCCTCAAATTTAAGTCCTGTTATTCCAGGGGAGACCTGCCTGGGCAACAGCCCAGAAGGCCCCACACACTCATCAGCTGCCACAAGACCTGGGGAGACTGAGGCAGGAGTGACAGGCGCAGAGCAGCATGGGTAACTGGAAAAGAGAAGGACCCTCCAGGAGCTGAGAAACTGCAGGCTGTCATTAGCATCATGTGGACGCGTCTAGTCCTCTGATGCCTGCAGAGTTGGCCCCTCGGGTCCTGCCCTGCCCACATTAACGTCACTACTCAGTAGGGGCCACATGGGTAACTCTTTCAAAGTTCCTAAGCTCCCTCACTTTCACAGTCCCAACTCTGCAGACCCCATGGTGAATCTTACAGTCTGCCTTTCCTGCTTTTGCAAGTCGTAGCTGAGAGGGATGGAGAAAATCACCAGGCTGTGTGGAGGTGTATCACTGAACCAGTCTCAGCTCTCACCTCAGGGGAGGCTGGCAGTCCTCTCACTTGTCTTTGGTTAGTTCCTTGCTCTGTGCCCTCAGACTCTATTCCCAAACTTTCCTACTCTCCTCAAACCTCCTACCCAACTGCCATTTCCCTTGTCCTCAGCAGCAAACCTCAGCTCTTCTTCACAGGAAATGAGACTGTCAGACTCAGCCGCTCCCAAGCATCCTTCCAGCCCATTTCTTCAGCCTGTTCCTCCCGACTCCATCCCCCTAACTTCACCTGTGTGTCTCAGTTCCTGACTTCCCACATATCCCTGACATGCTCAAAGATCAAACGCTTTATGAAGCCTCTTTGGCTGTTACAGTGCCTCTCCTACCACCGACCGGGCAGTCCGCCTTCTCTCTCCTCTGTAACACTTCCTCGTCTTGGGGGTCCTTCTGTAGCCACAGGTAGCCCATTGTATTGTACCTGTTTGTTACGTGCCCGCCTCCTGACTTCCCCTGGGCAGGATCGGCACCTCGCTCATCTTTATAGAGCTGGCACACAGTTGGTGCTTGATAAATGCGACCTAGGAGAAGACCGAGCACTCAGGCAGCAGCAAAGGAAAGGGGCTTAAAGGTGCTAAGTCTTAAGCACATTTCTGGGCCAGGATCGAAGGTGGCTCAGGGCAGAGCTCAAAAGCGGGTCGTGGAAAAAAGGGACACTGATGACAGTATACCAGCTTTCTAAGCATCCTGGACTGGGGCGTAAGAGAGCTGAGAGAAATCAATCATTTGGGTAAACACACCACTGCCCAAGACAGCTGGGTGGGGGTACCAACAAGACTATAAAAATCTTATATTAGCCTCAGAGAGCAGAAACATCTGTTAAAGCCACAGCGGGTGGGCTGGCCAAGTTCAGCAACGGGTTAGCCAGGACAGCCTGGTGACCAGCGGGAAGGGCCACAGAGGGGAGGAATCCATCATCTAGGCAAGGAGGAACAGGAGGGACCAGCAGTGACTCGGGGCCACCACAGCTCGAGGTGGGCCGGCCATCAACCCCCCAGGGGTCTGCAGCCCAGCACTGCTGGCCCCCACACGCCCCTCACGCCCTCAGCGCCCTCTGGCTGTCTGAGCCTGAGAACTGGGTGAGGTTTTCTCCTTTTCGCTGAGGGCTTCTAGGTTTCATGAGGTGCACTCAGCTAGCTCCCCACTCACACGCCAACACAACATAGACGACAGAGATAATTCCCTTGGAGCCAACGTCTCTGTCTCAAGAGTTTTCTTTTTCCTATCAACACTTTTACGAATTCCGAATTCGATCAACTCTTTGCCACACAGTTTGCCCTTAACAAAGCACCAGCACTCTGAAAACCTGCTGGGGTCAGAAAGGAACCTTTTAGAATGCTTTGGACTCCACACTAAGACAGCTTCCAATCCCAATCTTTGATCTCTATTATAAAGCAGGACCAATAAAAGATCGCTGAGATTTATGGGCGAACTTTCATTTGAGCTGTTTCACACCTAAAATAACACAAGTGCTGAAGCCAATAGGCAGAAATTTTAGGTTTAGGTTTCAACTGTTTAGGTTTTCTTTTACTTTCAAAATTCAATTCACTTATTGAAAACATTACCTTAAATTTTACAATTACATTGTTATTTCCCTTGCAGAGAAGACAGTTGGGAGACATTAACTGGGTAGATATCATGTCCTTCTGAGAAGGACGGGCCTACGTGCAGGTAGGCAGTTGTTCCCTATCCTAACAGATAGCTATCTTCCATCAAAAGGAGTGTTTTTTCAAGGGAGTTAAATGGACAATGTTTAATTTTATCTTTCCTCCTGAGTATACCCGATTGTCAACAAGCATAATCAAATACGTACTACTGTGAATAAAACCCCAACAAAAAGAATTTCATTTAGAAGACAGTGAGGTGGTGTTTGGCCCCCATATGCTTCATTGCATACTGTCCCAGTCGACGGGAGAATTCCCTGGATCGAGCTTAGACGGTGGCTCTGACATCGGTTAACTACAGGTCAGCAGCGCTGAATGAAAAGAAATCAGGGCCATGCTCCCTCCAGATGGGAAAGCAGCCCCCACCCCCACCCCACCCGACCCCGACCCCACCGCTGTGTTCCCACCTGGTGAAGTTGCGAGAAACGACTCTGCCAAACTAGAGGGCTGAGGAGCTGGAGGAGGAGGACGCAGCTCCTCCAGCTCTCAAGGCACCTTTACAGGCAAAGTAAAGGGAAAACAGCAGGAAAGCTCCTGGACACAGGCCTTTCAGAAACAGAGCTGAGGAAGCGAGGGCAGGGCAGGGGTTCCAAAGAATCTGAAGGCACAGCTGCTGCTGTCCAGGGCTGCAGGCCAGCGCCACCGGCTCCCGCCAAAGTGGGGCAGTGCCGGGCAGCGGGCGCCCACGCAGCCACTTGGGCCGCGGGTCTTCTGCCACCAGCTCCCACTGGCAGAGCTCAGAGCTCCGTCCCAACGAGAAATTCTAGAACTGTGACAATCACGAAACCAAAGTCAAGAGAACATGTTTAAGTTATTTAACCCAATTTTGGTTTTGCATTTTCTGATTGTGAAACATAATTCCTGGTTACAATAGGAGAGTGCAGCAGCTAGATAAGGACACCTGCTTAGAAGAATAACCTCTCACTGTAACTAAATCTTAAATATTTGAATCTGAAGAGCTGAGTTCGACTTTTCTGTATGGGGAGAGTGTTTCCCATTTATTGACTTTATGTCGTCTTTAAAGAGATTGCTACTTCTATTTCTCTTTCCATCATAACGTTAGTTTTTATAGATGTGAGTGACTCTGGAGTCTCATCTCCCTTCCCTAAGAGGCCCTGGGTCAGGCAAGGGCTGGGTTTAGCCGACCGCATTTTCAGGCAGAAGGTGTGGATGAGACGTCTCCAGCCTAAGGTTATATTAATGTAGTCAGTGTATTGCGAGCGGATGACTGGGGCCCTCAAAGGCCAAATGACACTACGGTTTCCTGGACCTGGCAGAGGTAGGTCTGGAGGTCCATCTTCCACCTGTCACATAGACTTCTACCTGGAGCCGGCAGTGGGGTGAACTTCCCCAGGAGTTAGAGGGCAGTAGCCCGAAGCTCACGGGCCTGCCAGGGCATACTGCTTCTGAGGGTGGGGCTCAGAGCCCGGCTTCTCCTCTGCCAGCTTTGTGGGCGCTACCAATCAGGTTAGGCAGCGGAGGTGGGCTGGGAAGCTGGATCCTTTCCCTAGGCGATGACATTTGGAAATTCCCAGAATGGAGCAGGTTTGGCACCTGGGCTGGTTTCTTGCCCCTGAGAGATGGGGCCAGGTAAAGGGTTCCCAGCTCCCAGAGTGCCATGGTATGTGCAGGTGGGTCGTGGAGATATACCTCTCACCTTAGTGCAGTCAAAGAGCAAATACCAGAAGTCATGTCCTAGGGCGGGGGAGGCGGGAAAGTTCCAGCCAGTATGGGTAGCAATCGAAAACTGGACCACTGGATTCAAGGAAGTTAGGTAGGAAGTGAAAGTCACGATATAGCCAAAGACGTAAGATGATCCCAAAAAGCAGGTGAACAGTGTGTCAAAGGAAGAGAAAGAAACCTGGCAGAATTCATGAGGTCCAGGGAGGGGGCAGAAATAACTCATGTATGTATGGTCTCTTATTCACCACCGTCCCCAGGCCTAGGGCAGTGCCCAGCAAACAACTGGTGCTCATTAAATACTTGTTAAAGGGAGTCCATGGACTCAGTGGCTCACCACGAGTGGCAGCACCCGGCCCAGGAGGAAAAGCGCAGGCTCCTCCGTGGCTCCCTTTGCTTTTCCATCTCTGAGAGTCCAGGTTGTCTCATCAAGGGCAGGTCAGGAGCAGATTAGCCCCCATCCTTTAGAACAAGGGTCAAAACCTTTTCTTAGAAGGCCACTAGTAAATCTGCGTGCTATTCTCCTACTGAAGTGTAATCGTGCCACAGATACTACATAAATAAATGCGTGTGACTGTGTTGTAATAAAACTTTATAAAAACTGTGGCTGGTGTGGGCTGAGCTGCTGAGCGCCGCTTTGGAACAATAACGTGGAGGCGAACACCTGTGTTTTGCCATGGAATCTCTTCAGTGTGGATCCTCTTGAACATACAAGAGCCTTATAGGAAAATATGTAGTTACGGAGGGCAAACACTCTTCCAGGGAACACCTTTTGTTTTCTTAAGACCTTATTAGATGTGGGAAAAGATATTCAGACAAAATTGCTATTCCTCAGGAATTTTTTTTGTTTAAAGAGAAATACACAAAACAAAACAAAACAAAACAAAAGGAAGACTAACTAGAAGCATGTTTTTCAGTCCAAGAAACTGGAGCTTGACTTTTACCTTCTGAACGAGGTAGACGCTTGTCGCTCTCTCAGCAGCCACTTTATCCAGCTCGGATCCCTCGGGAACAAAGTAACTGACGTCGGCGATGTGAACTCCCACTTCGTAGGTACCTGGAAAGGCCCAGGAAAGGTGATCAGCCGGGGAGGGTGGGCAACGGTGGTCCCTCCTGGGAATCCCTCCCGAGAGTGCACGCCCCTCCCAGAGGTCACAGGGCCTGAAGTGCAGGTTGCCGTTTAGTCTTGCTGGGCACGCCACCTGCCCTGCTACTTCACTATCGTAACTTTCCTCATTGGACACCAACAGGTGATGAGACTTTTGTCCTGAATAAACAACCCCGACCATCTCCACAAGATGTTTCCCATTTCTAAAGGCTTCTTGTCTTTGAGGAAACATCAGGAGACTCGCCAAAGAAGATTCATTTTGGATGATGAACAAATCCTTTCAGGCCACCAGAAGCAAGTTACTCCCCGAATCCTGCGGACTGCCTCTGAAAGCCCTGCCCCTCCTGTCCATTCTGGCCACAGCCTTTGCTCAGCCCCCTCACTGGCCTTCCTACCTTGACTCTGTCCCTCTTAGCTGGCCTTTCATAGCCAGTTACCTTCTTAACCATGGATCTGGTGACATCACTCCTTAACCTGCTATTCATGTCCTTGCACAGTCTCACCCCGATCTACCTGGCCAGCCTTATGACCTCACCTCCACGTGCTCTGTACGCAGCTGCCATGGGAAACCTCTTTCCATTCCTGGAACGATCTGACCTCATCCCATTCAGATGCCTGCTTGGCTTATGCTTTTTCTTATACTTAAGCTAATCTCAACAGGATCTGCCTGTCAAAATTCTTCTTACCTTACAATGGTCAATCAACTGAAAGAGAATCCCAGGAAAAAAGAGATTCTCTGCCCTCTGATTCCTCCACCTCAACAGCTAGAGCACCTAATCCATAGCTGAAGATGCCCACCGTGGTCTTTTCTGCAGAGCTCGCATCACGGCCAGATATCATGGTGTATCTCCACTGGCTCACATGCTTACCATCTGCCTCTCCCTACAGTGTAAGCTCCAGGAAGGCCTCTCACGGCTGTAAGTCCAGTGCTAGAAGAATGCCTGATGCACGGCCGGCACTAATACTTATTGAGTGAATGACTCAGTAATTGGTTTGCCTGTTGCCTTTCCCCTTCGGGTAAAAGACCCCACTTGTTTGCCCTGTTAGGACTGCCCTAGCCCTTGCTGGGGGAGCTGGTTATCAACAGGCTCTGCCTTCCCTGTTGTTCTGCCAGAGGGGTGGTCAGATGATTCAGGCCAATGGAACTGCGCCTACAGTGGGACCCGGGGGCCAGCTAGGTTACAAATTTAAGATGTACTCTTGAACATCCTATAAATCTCTATCAAATATAGCATATGTAATTATACACACTTATATCTATGTGAAAATGCACAAAATGGACAGAATATTAACGAGTGCACATGTAAAATAAATGTATAGTTTGAAGAGAGCATTATGGGCAGACAGAAGCATAAATTTAAATATATGCTTGATGTCATTCCATTATACCCCATCCCTGTTCATAGTGACTAGTCAATCACAGGCATGCGATTCAAGTTGATTTATTCTGGGTTTGTTTTCAAGGAGTGATATGGATTTCAGGAAAGAGGGTCTCTCTCCCTCTCCTCTCTTCTCTCTCTCTCTCAGGATCCTGACAGTAAGGACCACTGTAAGTCTGCAACTGCTAAGGAAACATCTTTGCCACACAATCATGCCAATATAGAAAATAACAGGTATAAGAACTAAAGGGAGAATCATGATGACCTCATTTGAACTCCAGGATCCAGATGAACTTGAAACTAGTCTACCTGTGGACTTGGCAGTTCATGAGTCAATCAACTCCCTTTTGGTTATGACTCAGTGAAAGAATCCTGATAGATACCCAAGTTGACTCAGAGGAGTTTACTAACACATCACCACCACTCCTCTGGTTATCTGGATAATCGGTCCTAAGGTATCACACATTTTATCTGCAAATCTTGTAGCTATTGTCCTCCTATTCCTTCTTCACTGGGGGATGAGTCTTCCTTCAATTTTTAAAACGGAAAATGCTTAAAGAGGGGTAGTTAAAATCAGGGGTTCAGGGGAGGAAAAGCATTTAAGTTTCCCCACTCTTCATCTGTCTCCCACGCCAAGACAACCCTCCTACGGGGCATTCGTTGGGTTTTCCCGCCCAGCCCAGTAACATTGATGCATTAGGGAAAACCTAAGTCCATCGAAGAGCTCCTGCTGCTATGGGATAACATAACAAGCCTATTTCCCACAGAGGAGAGAGGGCTGTCTGGAAAGCTGAGAGAAATGAGTATGGCTCCAAGTTCAGCTGCCTCATTCTGAGAGCCATGCAGCTGTGTGGCTGGGTCACTGGGGGCAGCGAAACCTGCCCTGCAATGATCGAGGAACTCAACCCTAAGAAAATGTGGCCAAGAATCTCAGACGGCTCAACTTCCAATTCTGATACTACAAGTATCTAAAAGCAACACTTGGAGAAGGTAAAATAAAGTGTCTTCCTTTGAAGTCAGAATTATAATATATTGGCCTAACAGGTAAATATTGACTAAAGGAAAAGAGAGAGGATTATGACATCATGATATAAACCATAATTTTAAATTCAGTCTGTGTGTTGTTACTACACATGAACTTTCTGTCCTTAGTCAAAATTGACAAACTGACAAAGAATTCATTACAGGAGATAAAACACCAAGGGGGCCAAGCAAAACATACTTGAGAGGCTTCAATTTCACTCAGAATTCCCAGCAGAGCCTCTAAAACCGGCAAAGTGAAGCTCTCTTATTCTCCCCTTTGGACATTTTTAATGGAAACCCTAAGTAAATATTTTATTACATATATTTACATAATGTGAACTTGGAGAACTCTTGAGGTAGTGGTGCTGTAGTTTTTAGTCTATGAAGGAGAAAATATAAATCCAAAAGGTTATATAATATATGCTGTCAAAACATTTAGGACAATTTTGATGTTTTAAAAAAATACCATCTTCCATATAAAAGTATTCTTTAAAAATGTCTTGCACTGAAACATTTTCATCTACTGGGGCTAAGGTGAGTCCTGTGAGTTTTGAAGAGCTGTGGAAGCAGAGGAAGGACGCGTCCCCAAGGCCAGCAATGCCTGCTTAACTCTGCGCTGGGCCCACAAACTTAAGTGAACACAAATGCTCCTTTGAATGACCTTGAGAGGACATCAGAACTGCTCCATCCAATTAAAACACGACTAGAACCTAAAGCGCCGGCTTAAGAACCATCTTCGAAGCCAAGCCTCCCAGCCAGTTCAGCCACTTCCCAACAGTGTCCCTGCCAGGTGGCCCCTGACATATCCTCAAGGGGGTGGAGCTCACAGTTTGAAGCCACTCGCTCTGCTTCTGAAGAGCTCTGGTCCTGAGAAAGTGCTTCCTTACACAGATCCATGATGCATAGAAATGGAGCCGCTCGTCTAGTCCAGCCCTCTGGTTAGGGAGCTCACAGTCTAACGGGCTTGGCAGTTGGCAGATATACCCGTGTGGCGACAATACGAAACCAGTGCCATGACAGAGGAAGGTCACAAAACCTCGCTGCACGGGGCCAAGTTGAGCTGAAATCTGTTTTTACTTCACCGAGAACATGTAAAGTTTTATAATTTATAACAACAACATGAATGCAATGTTGACAATGATCACAAAAATGGTAATAAGGACAGCGGCAGTGACCATTTGCTGTCCTTTGTGCCCAGGGCTCCACACACATCCATGCAGCTTTGACAGCGGCCATGTAAACTGTACTTCACAGATGAATCATCTGAGAGGCTCAGAGAGGTTCAGAGAGGTTCCAAGTCGCTTGCCAAGGTTACCTGGCTAGTAAGTAATAAACCCTGGCTTTAAAACCAGGTGGAATTCAGAGCTTTTGCTACTTTTATTACCACCCTCACACTTGCTACTGTCACTGTAACTCAAGGACATGACACAACCTGATCTTTCATCTCAGGGAACCACAGCTAGAAATCCCTCCCCGGCTCATATGGTTCCACACAAGCCACATTCTTGGCTCACGAGTCCTGTCGGGGACTTTTCCCAGCCTTGTTCACAGCCACCTCCCTGTCTGCAGGCTCTCTGGGTTCCCACTGCCAATCTCTGTGGCCACTTGTAACAGGGCCCGATTAGAGAGCAACCACCGAGCCATTGACTCTGGTTCTATTTAATTCTAAGTCCTCGAGATCCAACAATTCCTTTCTAAAGCTCTAGCTTACAGTCATCTGTAGCTGGGGGCAGAGTGGCCGTCCTAAGTACTTGGAAGGGTGCTGCCTATTACAGGTAGAGATGTGCCGGGCTTCCCCTGCCTTCTAGAACTGGGTCACTTGAGCTCACCTTTACCCACCGCTGAGACTGGACAGTGGTGACAGAGGCTCTTCTTGACCAAGCAGGACACCCCTTTTAATCCACAATGTAGGGGAACAATGCTGCTAAATGCACCTCACCAGCAAAGAAGAACTGCTTTTGTCCAGGTCACTAAGTGGCCTTTGTGTCACTAAATCCAGACCCTTTTCGGCCTGACGTGGCCTGGCCCCACAGGGCAGCTGAGGCCTGGGCTTCCTCCCTCCTTGAGACACTGCCTTCGGCTCCGGGCGCCACTCTGGGTGTCCGCGCCGCAGCTGCTCCTTGTCTGGCTCCTCTTCCTTTCCTTGTCCCTTACATGCTGGCCTGCCTCTGAGCTCTGCCCCGGGCTGCCTTCTCTTCCAACTCTGCTCTCTCTCCCCAGACTGTCTCAGATGCTCCCAGGAGTTCAGGCTCATCTCTGCTTCAGTGTCCTCATTCTGTGCCACCAGCACAGCGGTCTCGGGGCTCCAGACCGATATGCACAAGGGTCTAGTGGAAACTGCCACTCAGCTGTCCCACAGGCAGCTCACGCTCATATCTTCCGAAGGCTCCACCCCCAGCAAAACCGCTTCTCTTCCTGTGCCCTCCATCCTAAAAAGTAGGATCCCTCTCTCTAACCCAGAAGGGGCACCAACACTGCCTAAGCCTAAAAGAAACCTGGGCCTGCCTCAGTCTGCACAGGTCAAGCACTCTGGACTCTACCTCCCGA